TTTTAAACAAGGGAATGGCTTGTGATCCATTGTTGTTTGAACTCTGTTGAAGGCTTTGTAATTTGACATATTTTATTATAGTTTGGATTTTATTGGTAGACTGGAACACACCAGAGAAGCTTCTCTGTGGTCTGAGGGAAGCAGTTCATGCTGTATCTTGTTCTGTCCAAAATGCAGTTTCAGATTCAAACCCACATCCTTCTTCAGGGATTGTGCTGCACTCGGAGCCCTTAGAGCAGCACTGCCTGTGCCAAGCAGGCATCTCTGGGGAGGAGTTCAGAGATTCCTCTGGGTGCTGTGTGCAGCTTTCCTGGGTGTTTTCCATGCTGGGTAGCAGAGCTCAGGCTTGGAGGTTCCCACGTGGGCTCTGAGCCCCCAGAGTGAAGTGATGCATAGCATCAGTGACTATAAGTATGAACCAAAAGGGAGAGCATGTGTGAGCTGGCAAGTGTGAATTTTGCTGCTGACCTCTGTTTTGTCCTCTGGTCTAAACAGATGTCTAAATCTGTGAGAAAGCAGAACATAAAGGACTCTGCAGACAGCTTGGAATAAACATTCCATAATTGTTTCTATGCGCAGCCCTGCCTTTTCCCTTTGTTTACTGTCAGAGCTAATTTAGACTTTTGTTAGGTTCCTCCAGGCAGGGGCATGTCATGCCTGTGTCCTGGCTGATGGGAGCACTGGATATTCTGTGTAAACAGCCCAGTGAAGCTGGTAGGAGCAAAAATGCCTTTGCTGTCAGGGTGCTGCCAGAGCCTGGGCACAAAGGCAGCAGGCTGGCTCCAAGCTGGGTCTCTAAAGGAAAAGTGTTCTGGAGAACAGGAGACTGAATTTATAGTGGGTTTATTTATTTATTTTTAATGAAAGGATGTACAGGATCTGGAAATAGTATTTGAATTGCAACTGTTGAGAACTTCTCTCACATATACTGATAATTCTAGGAATAGCAGAGAGCATGGAGAAGGAAAAGAGTGTTCTGGGACAATGACTTAATCCCCAAAGAATCAGATATTTATAGTACCTTATGTTTTGAAACTATGGTTTTCATCTCTAATTCATGTATTTACTTAGATTTTTCTTATTAATAGTTCTAGGAACCACTGATTATGTAGAAGCTGCAGTGCTGATCTTGTTTAGTGACTTCGTGCCAGAAATTCTTGTGCTTGGTCTAAAAAAACATCCCAGTGTTGGTATTCAAGTGTTTATAAGGGTATTTGCAACTCACAATTATGGCATTTCTTCCAAAAGTACTTGTTTGAGTTTTCAGAAGCATTTGGTTTTAGAAGTTTCTTTGCAAGACAATCAGTGGTCAGAGTACAGGGAGGTAAGATGACACACCTAAATGGTTTGCTATGCAAGGGTGAAAAAGCCAATTACAATCCAACACTTTAAGATACTTGCATGCTTTTTTAACAGTTCTCATGCCTTTTTCTTTTTTACTCACTTATGTTTGTTCAAGATAACGTGAGCATCATTTCATCAGAAAATTGATGAATTGAAATTCCAGAAATTGAGAGATTTCTGGCTGTAGAATAAATCAATTTCCAATGCTGTGAAACTCATAAAGAATAGTTCCAGTGTTCTAAGGTTACACTGCGTTAACTATAACATTAATGCACAAAAATTGAACATAGATGTCTCTGTGTGACTCTATTTATTGGCCAGTTTCAGGAGATTGATAGACTGGTGGGTTCTAAGTTCAGTAAAACAAATACATTCTAAAGGATTTAGTCGGGCAAAATGAAATGCAAACCCAAACTGTGCAAACACTTGTTCTGCTCTGGCATCTGAGAGAAGGCAGCTCCTGATGGTGACTGAGTAGGACAGAAATGAGAAGAAGGAAAGCCCTCTGAGGGATGGAAACTGAAGGTGGCTTTTCCAGCTTTTCCAGTGTAGAACTTTACGAGAGTCCTGCTCAAACTTGAAAGCTGCTTAGGAGGAAGAGGTGTTTAAAGTGTTCACCAGTTTGTGCTTGTGTACCTTGAGGTTTAAAAGCTCAGATTTTGGAGTCAAGGGAACCCTGTATTTTGAGAGCAGTGGATTATCTTTGAGGTGTGTCAGTGTTCAGCCTGGCTGGGGGTCCCTTCCTCACTTCTGTGTGCTCAGCACTCATCAGGCTTACTGAATTCAGGGGCAAATCTGCTGCACAGGGAAGGCGAGTGCTGTGCAGAGGGGCAGAATTGTTCAAGTAAGATCTCTGATCCTTTGCCTTGTGTGAAATGGGAGCTCATGCTGCTCTCCTGAAAGGCTGGGCAGTACTGCTGGGCCATGCAATAGCTCTGCACTGTGCAGGACCAGCTGTGCCACTGTGGGGATCTTGAAAATGCCTAGGTAAGGAGGAAACTTGCAAACAAAGACAAGAAAAATTTGGATGTGGTTGTTGTCATGTGCTAAAATAGATTAAACTTCGGTGTCTTAGCTGTTTTTCTTTTTAAATCAGATACTTGTTGGTAAAATGTTAAGTAATTAAAAAATAAAATTATCTTATAAGTAACTATTAGTTTTTACATATTAACATGTAGCCATGCTCTATTGGACAGGCACTGCTTCGTGATGTTTCCATGCTCTACTTGTGGAGTGGTACAAATTGCCTTTTTTATCAGGGCTTATTTATCTTCACTTAGGTGTTGGGGGTTTTTTTGTGTGTGTGGTTTTTTGTTTGTTTTTGTTTCATGAGGCTGCTGACCTGTTTGTACTTTCAGTTGAGTTTTGTCTGTCCTGTGGTTACTGACTTCCTGTTAAATTCATGGGGTGGGAGGGCTAACACGAATAACACTACTGAGGAGGTTTTATTTCATATTTTCAATGATGAGCCAGTTTTACTCTTTTTAGAAATGCATTTATTTGCACCAAGTGTTGTGACCTATTTTGCTTAAATGCTTTTTTTAAAAAAAAAAAAAAAAAGTGTTTCTTGTTTTTTTCCAATGGGGAAATGGAGAATTGTGCTGAACAGTATCTCAGATGCTGTGTTACTTTGTGATGCTGTGCAAAATGCACCCTCAGTGTTGCAGGGATCATATGTTCAATTTAAATTGCTGCTGCTACAGTGACTGCAGGGGTTTTGTGAGGGTTTCCTCACTGTGACAATTACAAGCATCAGTAACCAAGCAGGTCATGCTGACCAGGGAATTGGTTCTGCTGCATGTTTCCATTTGACTCTGTTCTGGTTCTTGCCATGGATCTTTATAACTGTGGTACATTTGGTCATAGCCAGAAAATCCCGGCCACTGCTTTGCATTCCTGCCGGAAAAAAATGCAAATCACTTGCAAAGTGCCAAAGAAAGGGTTTGGCTTGTCCCATTTGCTGACACAACTGTTTTCTGTACTTGCTAATTCAAGAGTATGAGCTCACTGTCTGAAGTTGTCTGGGGGCTGGACTTGGGAGTAGATGAAAGATGTGCCTGATAGGCTGCTGCCCAGTGGCTGGGAAGTGGTTGCTGGAGAATCACGGGTTAAAGTGAAAGTCAAGGCAGAACTTTTCATTATAACTGTGTCAGGAGCTGTCACCTTTATTTCAGATGCCTTCAAAACAGGCTTTGTCAAAAAGTGAGCCTACAGATGCAAATGAAAGGCAAAGGACACATCACAAAGAAATGATAGTTAAAATCTCTTATGCAGTGTAGAGGTATCAGACTTAGGGGTGGGTCCCTCTGTTATTCTTTTCTAAAACTACCTGTGAATGTTACTCCAAATCAACCTTATATTGTCTGTGGGCTTTTTGTTCTCCCTCCTACACTCGATGAGCTCGCTCCAAAATGCACTTTTCTCTGTCTTTGGCACACAGTTATGTACACACTGAGCACTGCCTTCCTTTTGGGGCAAAGTCTCCATTTGTCTTTGCTGTTTTTCCATTGTGACCACTTTTGCTCTCTTATGTTTCAGTAGACAATGTCATTTTGATGCAGCACATCAGATAAATACAGTAATTTTATTGAGGCAGACTTTGAGGAGTACTATTGATTATTTATGGAGACATGCTGTTTTAATCAAGTAAACTCATTTAAGCTGTCATGGTGAGTCAGTATAATTCTGTGCTTGTACTTCATGCTGGAGAGTAGGTTTGTATTATAGATGATGCTGGTGATTTAGAGGATGTAACAGCATCAGTCAATTGGCACAGGAGTTTGGCAGTGCTGGTTTACTGTCTCATATAATCTCACAAGTGCTTTGAAAGCATTGATGTAAAGTTATTTTCAGGGCCTGACTTAAACAAAAGTGTAGCCAGTCAGGAAATGCCTTGTCTCTGGTGTGCTGAGTTGCTGGTGCTGCCAGGGGGAGGCTCTGTGTGATGCCCTGGCTGGCAGTGCCCCTCCAGTGCTGAGCACAGTGTAGGTTGGTGCTGCCAGCTGCTCTGGGCTGCAGGCTGCCTGCCTCTCTCCCAGCATTTCTGGCTAGTTCCTAATTTTTCCTGACTCCCTGGGCTGGCCTTCAACCATAAGGCTGTTTTTACCTTGGTGTGAGCATGCAATAACACCTTCCACCAGCACTTGTGTGAGATTAGGTAAATACTGAGGGTGCTCTGAGTGCTGTGAGTCATTCTGGCATGTTTTGATGAGTTGAGATTTTGGATTGTGTTTAAAAGGAAAAGTTCCACTCTGTGGATAGGTATGTAGGTAGGTATGCTGCAAAAGGTGACTGAGACGGAGCCTTTTACTTAGCTGCATTTCAGTGCAGGATGCTTTATTAATGACTATTCTTATGATTTTCTAAACTGTTTAAGTGTGCCACATTTAAAATTAGTGTGACTGAAATGTTTGGAGTTGTTAAAGTCATCTTTATCAAGTACTGCATTTATAGAAACAAACTGAGGAATTGTGTAGGTTGGAAAAGGTAAAGTCCAGCTGTTCCCCAGCAGTGCCAAAGCCACCAGCAAACCCTGTCCCTGAGCACCACATCCTCAGGTCTGTTAAATCCCTCCAGGGATGGTGCCTCCACCCCTGCCCTGGGCAGCCTCTGAAGAAATTTCCCCTAATATCCAGTCTAAACCTCCCTGTCTCAGAGATGAGCACCAATCACTGCATTTTGGGCAGGAGCTGCTGCTCCTGGCACTGAGTGCCCCTCACTGTGGTGCTGTGTGCCCTCCAAAAGCAGTGGGTGCTTCCCTGGCTCTGAGCCATGTTCCTGCAGCCAGGCAGGCGCTGCTGTGGGATTGCCCGTGCTGTGGATGGAACCATCCCCTCATGGTGTGGAGATGCTGGGGCTGGGCAGGACCTGCAGCTCTCTGTCTGGGTAAACAGGTGAGGATCAGCAGTGCCTGAAAGTCAGCTTAGCAGGGAGGGGATGCTCTGCACTGCTCCTGCTCTCTGATGGTCTGTCCAGCACACCCAGCTGTGTTCTGCTCTGCATGTAAGAATAGTTTTGTGTTGGTTTGCCTTTATTTCTTCCCTCTCCAGGCCTCATTTTATCATTTTTAGCCTAGCAATGCTCCCTTCAGTGAGTGTCCAGAATGGTTATTGTGCTCCTCGTGTGGCAGCTTGGAGGAGCAGAGGCTCCAGGATTGTCTCACATCCCTTCACCTGCTTCCCTGCAGCTTCTTGCCGAGGAGGAGCTGATGGCAAATTGTGTTGACAGGCTTTTAATTAACAGCTTCTCAGCAGGAGCTCTTCCTATGTCTCATAAGTCACAACAGAGCAACTTTTAATTTGTTAGCAAGCCAAAGTGTATTCAAAAGAAAAATCTTTCCACTTTGTAATTTATTGAATGATGCCTTTCACACTCCATGTTTTAAAGCTTCTGATCTTGCAATTAAGGCTTAAAGCTCATTAAGCTTAATCAGGAAAACATTTTGCTAGTATGAATTGTGTAAGATCTCCTATTTTTTCACTCTTTAATTTTTCTTTTTTGTGGCAGCTTTATTTTGTGCAACAACAGTATTAATCTGTGTAGACTGTGCACAAGACCTCTTGTTCCTGTGAGCTTTTTAAAAGATTTTACCTTCTCCTTCCTGCTAAGTCTATTTTTTGCTTTTTCCTGTGGTTCCTTCTGTTGTCCCATCTGTTTGGTTGAACTGCTTTATTCTCTCCTGGTGTTTGGCATACACTAATCCTTTTACCTTCTATCTTTCACAGCTTTGTTGAATTGCAGTGTGTAGTTCAATTTTGCTTCTGCCTGCCCTTCGCTAGGATGTTCCAGGATGATCTATGATTTTTTTGAAATTGAGAACTGTTAAAAATTGTTCCTTCCAACTTTCCCCCTCCTTCTCTTTTTCCTTTATTTTTATTACTGCTTGCACATTCCATTTGTGGTGCTGTTAGCCTTTGGGAAAAATACTGTAATGACTCTGGTTTCTTGCTTCTCAGAATCTCCAGATCTTTCCTTTTTTCCGCAGTTTCCAAAAGCTGTAAAGGTAGTTGTCCAAGTAAAATGAGTTGGAAAGCCCTCAGTCCTGCAAAATGTATATAATGTATAATGGATTTCACTTACTGCAATCACACAACTCTTTTCAATACCAGCCCCAGTGGATGAAATAAGTTCAGTGATTCCTGAGACCTTTTTAAATATCAGTAAGAAAATTAACTGGAGGGGGAGGGAATGGTGTAGGAAAAAATCAGAATTTTGAAGTTGTAGATTTATCAGCACTCAGAGATTAAAATCTAAGATGGTTCATTTTTGGAGTCCAGAAGAGTTTTGGTAAGCAAATGTGTCGTAATTACACGTGTATGTAAGACCTGTCATTCTCAAAAGCAGGAGAGATAAAGAGAGGCCTCTTTCTGTTAGGAAATAAGTTCTGGGCCGAAAAGAAACGGTGGAGGGGAAAGAAAAGTTACTTTCTGTCAACAGGTTTGAATGTTCTGTCATAAACAGAACTCAGTTCAAAGGATCTGGGAATCTCAGGAGATTTATTTCAAGACTAACCAATTTCCTGCAGCACACTGTCAGTGCTAGGAGGAGGCATCTCTTGCACATAAGAGCAGCTGTTTTTTTTTTTTAAAGAAAAAAAGGCATGTAAGGGGGGAGAGCAACCCCTCTCATCCTTATTTAGGGCAGTTTTCCACAGGAGAGTGTACATCTGTGAAAACAGGGCACTTGAGCAAATTCTGTACTCTTCAGAATGTTATTTTGCAAGGAAAAGTGTGTTTGGATGTTTTCGAGAGGGCTTGTTTTTGTTTTTTTTTGTATTTTTATTTTTGCAGTGAGTAGCAACTGCTGAGGCTTTATTAAATTTTGTTTACTATGTAATGGGACTGAGAGCTTTAATACTCTTTATTATCTTAAGAATTGTGAATGTGAGTATTAACCCTGTGTTAGCAGAAGCTGGTTTAATTTTATGGAAAATAGAAATATTTTTTATTTACCTGAAAGTTTTGTTGTGGAAATACAGTTAATCCTATTTTTGGGGTGAAGGCAGCTTCTCCATTCTGTTGTTGCCAATTTAAATTACCTTGTGTGCTTGCCTTTATAGAATAACTGGTTCTTCCACATCTGAAATATAATTTGCCTCTATTTTGTTGATTGCAGGAACCAGAGATATCTGAAGATGAAACCATGAGGAGTGAGCAGAGTGAATAATAATGCTTTTCCGAAACCGCTTTCTGTTCTTGCTGGCCTTGGCAGCCCTGTTAGCCTTTCTGAGCCTCAGTCTGCAGTTCTGTAAGTGTCCTCATGTTTGTTTTCCACATATGGGACTCTGTAGGTGTGTTTAAAAATTGCCATGATTACATGTTGTTTAAGCATTCTTTCTTTATTGAAATACTTGGAGTTTATTTTGGTTTTTTGTTTGTTTGTTTGTAAGAATTTTTGTTTGCTTGTTTTCCAGAAAAGTAAAAAACAGTTTTGTGTGTTGTGTAGGAATCTATACAATCTAGAGAGTTCAAATCAGGCTACTGTATTAAAAAAAAAATCTGCATTTTGTAGTGCAGTTGAGTAATTGAGTGTGATTGAATCCTTCCATGAAAGTAGGCAAACGACATTGGAGTGAAAACTGCTGCAATTCCTATTTTACATTGCATCAGACCAGATGGGATTTAGGAAACTGCTGTGAGAGGTTTGAGTGCTGGAACTTCTCCTGATTTGTACCCTCCCATCAGGGAACTTCAGGCAGTTGGATTGGTTCGTCAGAAGGGGGTGGTTTGTTCAGGAGCAGATAAATTGTGTTGTGCTTCAGAGGGGCAGTGTGGGTGACAGATGGGCACTGTGCCCTGTCCCTGATTGTCACCTGCTGCAGCAGAGAGCATTTACAGATAAAGCCATGTTTTGTGTTAAAGTGGTCTGTACCAATTAATGCACAGCAATGTAGTGAGTTGCTGTTAGAAGGCAAGTAAAAGTACAGTCCATAGGGTAGGATAGGATAACATTCTTTGTTATTCTTGCCATCTTTCACTGTGTTTTGCTGAGCACAGTCCTTCTGGGCTGTGCTTTTTTCTGCCCGGTGAAAAAGCCCCCAAACCCAAAAGGTTACATTAGAGTTAGAATGTGTCTTTTGCACAGATGACTTTAAAAAAGGGAGGGAGAGAAGGTGAAAAACTTTGTGGTTTTCTGTTGTTATTTTAGTGTGCTTAAACTCATCTACACGTCATAAAGGGACCTGTGGCTCTGAGCTGCTTTTTCAGGCTCCTCTGGGCACCAGCCAGGGGTCTGATTGCAGCTTGTTTTGCCCTTTAGGCTCGTTACAGCTCTGCCCTTGATGCTCTAGGGTTGGTTCTGAATTGTGCATAGGGGGAAGGTCCTGGAGGAGCTGCCGCTGAAACATGAAACTGAATTGTTAACTAAATGAGTTTTATTTAGAGATGAGGAGGTAGGCATTTAGGAGAGTGAATCACATTTCATCTAAAGATAAAATGATTTTCTGCTTAATTAGAACTTAACATTTCTGCTAGAGATAAGGATGTTTGAGAAGTGCTTTAAAAAGCATGTAAGCTGCTGAGGCAGCCAAGGTGCAGCTCAGTGCCAATACCAACATTGACACAGAGACCTTTACTCCAAGAGAGCTGCAGTACAGTCTGCTGGGAGCCAAGACATCCAGGTAGCCTGATACTTTAACTTCTGCCAGCTTCAGGATGTAGAGCAATTGGTCCAAACTTGCAGCAAAGTCCATCTCCAGAGCAAAACCAAAACCCTCTTGGATCCCCTTGTGCTTCCAGGTGAGCTGTGCCAGCTGGGCACCCTGCAGCTTCAGGTGAGTTACAGTGCTAGCACTTGTTGTTGTTTTATCAGGAACTTTGTCACAGCCTCATCAGTGCCTGTTTCTGTCAGGAAGCACTGATTTTTCACATCCTCAGAATAACTGTTGAACTTTGGGATTGGTGAGTCTGGCTGGTCTCAGCTTTCTTCAACACCTAAATTAGCATGAATCCCTCCTTCTCCATCCAGCACTTACAGCTTCTTTGCAAATAGGGTAAAATTTGAGCTGTTTTACCCCCACTTAGGCAGAACATTCTGCTACAGGCCCCTCATGACAAGGCAGACACTGAGAACTGGAGCAGTTCCCCAGTGGAGCTGGTGCCGGGTCTGGGGCACAAGTCTGATGAGCAGTGGCTGAGGGAGCTGGGAGTGTTTAGCCTGGAGAAAAGGGGGCTCAGGGGGGTTTTATCACTCTCTACAGCTACCCAAAAGGAGGTTGTATTAGGTGGGGATCAGTCTCTTCTCTCAGGACAAGAGGAAATAGTCTCAAGTTGTGCCAGGGGAGGTTTATATTGAGTATTAGGAAAAAAGTCTTCACCAGAAGGGTGGTTTGGCATTGAACAGACTGCTCAGGGCAGTGGTGGAGCCACCATCCCTGGAGGCATCTCAAAGACATGTAGATGTGGCACTTGGGGTCATGGTTTGGTGGTGCTGGGTCAGTGGTTGGTGTTGATCTTAGGCCTAAATGATTGATGATATGGTTTATGTTCATGGAATGAAAATGAGTGTTTATACATTTAGACTCAGGAAAATGCCCAAGCCACTGATTTATTTTGTTTTGTTAGAAGGGAGGTACCTCCTGAAGCGTTTGGAGTGGAAATGAATGTTTTATGCTGTTGTGAGATTGTGAATCTCTGTTAGCAAGCAGTGCACAGCTTTGTGGAGGAGGGCTGGTAATTTTAAAATATGCTACTGCTTTTCTAAGCATGAAATGTTGAAAATGTCTGTTCCTTTCTGTGATAAATTTGTTTATAAAAGCAAAACAGTAACACTAAATGTATACTTACACAAGTGGTACATGTCTTCTATTTTCAAACTTCTTTAGAGCAGAGCATAACTCTTGTAAGTGCTTGATATTTTATCCCTCTTATCCACATGTGGAACTGTGGCATTTGAAGCCAGACTTGTGAATTTTAGCTGACTGAAGCAAAGGGAGTAGTAAAGGGCAAGCTCAGCTGTTTTTCTGTAGGTTCTGACTCAATATTACAAACAGCCCACACTGGGCTGGCTGACAAGGTCACAGTCTGGCTCCTGCTTCAGCTGTGAGGGTTCAGGAATTGCTTGCAGCAGTTTGCCCCCCAGTCAAACAGAAAAGGATGCTGGTTGACTTCAATGTGCTGTGCTGGGAAGGACCTGGGACTGCTTTGTGAGCAGTGATTTCTGCAGCTCATGAGGTGGAGGTCGTGGTGGTCATGTGAGCAGTCCCAGTCAGTCTGTCCCTGCTTGTAAGACAAACTCCTGAGGCACTTGTTTCAGAGCTGATAGTTGTCACATCTCGAGTTCAGACTCAAGGAGAAAAGTGCTGGGGAAAACAACCCCAGGGTAGGACCTCAGAATCTTCAGTGTTGGTAGCTGGGGATGAACCCAGGATTGATAGAAAACTCTGTCCCCTGTTGTGATGTTTGTTGTTCTTGGTCCCTTTCTCTTCTCTTGTGGTTTCTGAGTTCGGTAGTCTGCTTTCCTGTGCTGTTTTCACCACAAGGCTGGTGCTTTCTGTGGTTACTAATAGCTCAACTCATGGGGTAGATAATGGAGAAAGCTTCCCCCAAAGGATCTCTGAAGAGCTCTGAGAGCTGAAGGTGTTCTCTCCCACCAGCAGTCTCAGAGGATGGACATGGGGCAGCTGGCCAGGACCCGCGTCAGGAGCTGCCCTCAGCTTTGTCCCAGGGTGGGACAGGCAGCTCTTGGAGCACTTGGTTTATGTTTGTCACATGTGCGTGCTGGCTTGTGTTTGTCACATGTGTGTGCTGGTTTATGTTTGTCACATGTGTGTGCTGGCTTGGCTGCCTGCATCAAATGCCAGCTGCATCTCCTTCATCTCCTCATCCTGGCTAGAAGGAGACGTGTAAGCAGATTGCTGCACAGCTGGAGACTCCTTTTAAACTCCAACAGTCATTCTTCAAGGTGATGTGATGCTGTGGGTCCTGTGAGACACTCTCCTTCCTGCCAGGATCTTCTGTCCTGTGCATTTTGGGCAATGGAGCACTTGGTTCTGCTGTTCATGTCCTTGAGCAGGAGCAAAAGGCCCAGGGGCTGTGTTGAGCTTTGCCTGCCCATGGGGCTCTTTGCTTTCCTGGCAATTTCACAAGGAGCAGTAGGGTAGGGGAACTGGCTTCAGGAAGTCCTACTGTTTTCAGGCTCTGTGTGTTTATTGAGGTAAATAATGCCACATTTTTTTTTCCCTGAACATTCCTGGTGAATGATGGGAGAAATGCATTTGAGACACATTTGAAAATTTACTAGGAGATTTTAATACCTATTCATAGTTTTGTCAGATTTTGTTACCATTTGTAGTAGGCACATAGAAGGCTTTTAACAAAGAGTTTATACTTGCTGAAGAGGTACAAGCCTTAACAGTTCTAAACATCTTTAATATAATTGTGTAGCCTGGACTTCAAAACAAAAGGCTGGGGCCAGATGTGCCCTCAAGTTCAGTTTTGCTATTAATGCATTGTACAGAGTTAAACCTGGAACAATCAGCAATAGAGGGAACATCTCTTTAATGGCAAATGCCACTGGATTTTGTAAATGTTTGAATTTTTAAATAGTGTATGAAAATGGCAGTGTTAAAAGTTAACATGAAAGAAATGTTCCAGTGCTGGCTAGAAAAATACTCTGTCTCTAATGGATAATTATATCAATGGAACATTTTTGTTTGGGAAGCCCATTGGATTGGGAAACTGGTTGACTTCCAAACCAAATATGACTGGCAGATTAAAGTTTTATTAGGAATTGTCATTGTTTCCCTCTTGTTTTATATTTGAGGCCTGATCTACAGAAAAGAGTGGAGAAGTATTTTTCTTATAGTGTTTATTAGTCCACATGTGTTTTATATTTTTCTCCTCCTTGTTTATGTAAATGGGCATGGTTGTAAAACAGTTTAAAACTTCAGCATTAAAGACAAAAGGAGAGCTGGTTTTGATAGACTTGTCAGTTAAGGCTTTTCTAAAATGTAATTATGTTGTTTTTATCTGGACTATTCAGTGTTTCACTTTGTCAGAAAAACTGCAGAATGGAAAGATGAGCATGTTTTATACTGTGTATTTTTTCTCTTTAAATATTATCTATAATGCTGTTGACTAAAACTGGGCAGTTTCCTTCTGTACAAACACAGAATATATGTAGGGATACTTCATTCTTTTTTTGCCAGAAGAAGAGGTTCCTGTTCTGTGCTGTGTGACTGCCTGGAGCAGTGCAGAGGGAAGGTAAATGCAGTGGCTGGGGGCAGCTCTTGCGGCTCAGGGACAGAA